GAGAGAGAGAGAGAGAGAGAGAGAGAGAGAGAGAGAGAGAGGACAGATGCTGCACCAGAAGCTGTGCTAAGGCAACAGTCGAGATGCCCTAACAAATGGAACCCCCGAAGTTTAGTGACCTACCCAAAGTCACTCAGTAAGTGGAGAAGAGGGGACTCACATTCCCAGGCCTATGAAGCCAGTTCCAGAAGAACTCCACTCTACTGCAACCTTAGCCCTAATCCTGCTACATCCCCTTCACTTCTACCCTGCATGTACATTCTAGCATCGGTTCTGGCCTGTGGTAAGTCAGTTTCGACTAATCTCTTCATCCAGTGTGCTGTTTCAGGACAACCTGACGCAAGCTAGAGCCATCAGAGAAGAGGAAGCCTCCAGCATAAGACTGGGCTTAGCTTGGCATGGTGGAACACATCTTTAATGCCAGCACTCAGGAGGCAGAAGCAGGAGGATCTCTGTGAGTCTGGGGCCAGCCTGGTCTACAGAGTGAGTTTCTCGACAGCCAGGGATACACAGGGAACCCCTATCTGAAAAAAACAAAGAATGTGCTGTTAAGCAAGCCTCTGGGCACCCCTGGGCTGGTGGTTCTGGGTTCTGTAAGAAAGCAGGCTAAGCAAGCCATAAGGAGAAAGCCAGCAAACAGCACCCCTCCATGGCCTCTGGCATCTGCTCCTGCCTCCAGGCTGCTGCCCTGTCTGAGTTCCTGTCCTGACTTCCTTCCGTGCTGAACAGTGTTATGGAAGCTTAAGCCAAATGAACCTTTTTTTCCCAAACTATTTAAGGTCATGGTGCTTCATCACAACCACAGTGCCCCTAAGACACGCAGAGAAGCCCAAAAACAAATGTGACACCACCCTGTGCGCCCAGCACCCTTCCAAAAGCACCCCAGAGACAGGCCTAGAGATCCTCAGCCCAAGCCTCTTACCTGAACCACCTGTCCATCAAAGTCCTGCATCTTGTGCACTTTGTGACTCTCACTGCAGCCAGGAACAAATCGGGAAGAAAGAACAGAGGCAGTCCTGAGCAACTCGCAGGCTGGGCCCTACCCAGCACCCTCCCTCCTGTAGTCCTACCTGCAGTCAGGTCCCCACAGGCACAAACATTAGAACAGCTCTCAAATGTGGGGCAGTTTGTTTGTTTTTGAGACAGGGCCTCTCTGTTACACAGTTCTGGCTATCTTGGAACTCACATTATAGACCAGGCTGGCCTCAGAGATCCATCGGCCCTGACTCCTGAGAGCCGGGACTACCACATCCTACCCTATATAACCCTTTGTTTTTATCTTTGAGATAAGGTCGGCATAAACTGCCCAGCCAGGCCAGGAATTTTCAACTCTCCTGTTTGTACTTCCTAAATGCTGGGATTCCAGCCATTCACCACTACGCCTGGCTCTGGCTTGGGAAAATACTTCCAACACTAAATTAAAAAAACTAAAATAGAGGGAAGTTTTTTAAGATTAATTTGATAAAGTGAAAAAAAATTTCAAAAATAAATTGAGAACAGCCAGACATAATGGTACACACTTTAATCCCAGCACTTGGGAGGCAGAGGTAGGGTGGATCTCTGTGCGTTCAAGGCCAACCTGAGATAGAAATTTACAGGCTGATCAAGGACACACAGTGAAAATCTGTCTCTAGAAAAATGAAAGAATTGCGGGGCCGAACAAAACGGTTCAGTAGGTAAAGGCACTTGCCACCAAATTCAACAAACCTGAGTTCTGTCCCCAGAAGCCGCATGGTGGGAGGAGAGAACTGACTCCTGCAAGTTATCCTCTGACCGCCACACATGACATGCGCGTGTATATGTATACACATGCACGGTCATACACACAACATAAAAGTTTTAACAGCTTTACACATCATGACCTCACCCTACAAACGATGGAGCCTCTGCTGAGGTAAGTGCTCCCTCCTCAGCATAAGGACCAGGTCCTATACTCAGGTGTACACCCAGGGTAATTAGGAGCCTTCAGGGTCCCCGCTGCGGGGAAAGTAGCACTATCGGACTCACCTGTACACTTCTTCCTCCACCACCTTCCGTCCGCACTGCCCGTGGGAATTGTTCCCCATGCTGAAGACTGAAGCACAGCCCGGCCGTCAGGTCAGCTCTGAGGGCCCCAGAGTCCCACCACCACATAGGTGGTCCTGGCCTGCTTACCCTCACTGTCCTAGGTCTCCCTCTCCCACACCCCAGCCCCTGCAGCAGCCCCATGAGAGCGGCAGGGCTTCTCTTCCAGACCCGCTTCCACCTCCAAGGATGGAAGGTCACAATTAACTGCTATGACCCCAGGAGAACTGCAATGGGAAGAAACCATCAACAGACAAGCTTCTGTTCAGCTGGGCGTTTGAGGATAATAATGTCTCCACAGTGACCACTGTTAACACGCTCATAACCCGCAAACATACATACTCAGACATAAACATACACAATTAAAAATAAAATCATGAAAAACAAAAAACAAGTAGGGCTGCAGAGATGGTTCAGCCATTAGGAGATCTTGCTAATTCCTGCAGAGGTCCCGAGTTCAGTTCCCAGCACCCACACTGCGCAACACAACCGCCCTGCTCCAGAGATATAATATGGTCTTCTGACCTCTGCAGAGACGACATGTATGTAGCATACACTCAGACACACATACACATGAATAAAAATTAAAAATAAATCTTAGAAAAGAGCGAGGGCTGAGGCAGAGCTCAGTGGTAGAGCAGGTGGCAGCTTTCCAGCACCGCGGGGAGCACAGGGTTAGCAAGTCCGCCAACACCACCTCCCAACCCATCCCCCAGTGAGTCTGCTGGGGAACCCTCCCCCCCCCCCCCCCCCCCCCCCCCCCCGCCACACAGACGCCCTCAGCAAGACTACTCACCACCTTCTCGGTCTGTCAGGATAAGGGAGTGTGCTCGGCCGCAGGACACCTGCAACACCTTTGTCTCCTGAGGTCTGTCGAGGGGTAGCGGGACAGGCGAAGGCTCCAAAACGTACTCATAGCCCCTGGCTAAACAGAAGCACACGTCACTAGTCAGCCACTGATTCAGCCACATCAGCTCTTACAGAAACCTGGCTGCTTTACACAGGAAGGAGCGCAGCAATAGCTCAGCACACACGCTCTGCACAAGGCTAGCCTGAGAAGCCGGACTCCCAGCCTGTCCTCCTGTACTGCCTCCATGCCACAGGCAGGTCCTGAAGACTGGATTTGCCTCCTCAAAGAAATCGGGACTGGGGTGGAAGCTCAGAATGCTTTCCTGACATACACATAGACCTGGGCTCCATCCCCGGATGAGCAGTGAGTTCAAAACCTGCCTGTGCGACATGAAACCCATTTTTAAAAAGAGAAGACAAAGATGTGCTGGTGCGCGCATTTAATCCCAGCCCTCGGGAGGCAGAGGCAGGAGGATCTTTATGAGTTCCAGGACAGCCTGAGCTACAAAGAGAAACCCTGTCTTGGGAAAGAAAAAAAAAAGTTGGCCTAACAGTCCCAGAACTCAGGATGCTGAGGCTGAGGCGGGAAGCTACAGATGGAGTCCTAGATTCAATAAAACCTAAATAAATAAATCACTCTCGTGGGCCAATAATCTAGCTGCACAAGATTTGATCACCAACAACATACAACACACACACACAGAGGAGAGAGAGAAAGAAATTAAACTAAAACTGTGAGAGGGGAAGAAGCAGTCTATCTAAAAGGACCAGGAAGTGAAAAGAAAAAAATTAACTTTTTCAACTAGAGTGTCACAGCTGTGATGCCAGCACTCAGGATACAGAGGCCAAGCCAGAAAAACAGCACAGCTGGTAAAAGCGCTCGCCACTGAGCCTGGCAACCCGAGGTCAGTCGTCAGGACAGGCATGGCAGAGAGAGAACCAATTCCCGCAAGTTGTCCTCTGACCTCTGCACACAGTGTGGCACATACGCCCTTCACACACCCCTAAACATAATAAAAAAGAGAGTTGGAGAAGAGGCAGAGGCATGAGGATCAGGAGTGCAAGGCCACCCTCATCCACAAAGCAAACCCTCTTTTGTCTCCACTTCCCAAGCCCTGGGACTGCAGATGCTCACCCACAGTTACACTGCACAGGGATGGAACCCAGGCCGTGGTGCATGCTGGGTAAGGACCTTACCACCAGGAGTCACAGCCACAGACAGCCCTTACTGCTACTCTTACAGCACAGCCAGACCATTATACTGAGTGGGTGTGGTGGTGCACTGCTTCAATCCCAGCTCTCTGGAAACAGGCAAGTGGCTCTGGGAGTTCAAAGCCAGCCTGGGCTAGATAGCAAGCTCCGGGCTAGTCAGCTATGTAGTGAGACCCTGTCTCAAACACAATTTTAAAAAAGCACTCTGAACTATTTCTAACTTGTTGTTGTTGTTTGAAGCAGGATGTCACTACGTAGCCCTGGCTAGACTAGAACTATGCAGACCAGGCTGGCCTCAAACTCACAGATCTGCCTGCCTCTACCTCCCAAGTGCTAGGATTAAAAATGGCATCACTACCATCTGGCCATTTCTAATTTTTTTTTTTTTTTCAAGACAAGGTTTCTCTGTAGCTCTGGAGCCTGTCCTGGAACTCGCTCTTTAGACCAGGCTGGCCTCGAACTCACAGAAATCTGCCTGGCTCTGCCTCCCGAGTGCTGGGATAAAAGACATGCGCCACCACCACCGGGCCATTTCTCTTTTTTTGTTTTTGTTTTTTTTTTTTGTTTTTCGAGACAGGGTTTCTCTGTGGTTTTGGAGCCTGTCCTGGAACTAGCTCTTGTAGACCAGACTGGTCTCGAAATCAGAGATCCGCCTGCCTCTGCCTCCCGAGTGCTGGGATTAAAGGCGTGTGCCACCACCGCCCAGCCCGGCCATTTCTAATATCTTTTAAAGATTTATTTTTAATTATGTGTATGTGCGTGTCTCTGTGTGTGCACACACATGAGTGTGGTGTCTGTGGAGACCAGAGGAGAGTGCTGGACCCTCTGGAGCTGGAGTGTTTAGTTTTGAGCAGCCTAGCAGGTGCTAGAAACCAAACTCACTTTCTCGAGAAGAACAGTACATGCTCGGAGGCTGCTGAGCCATCTCTGCAGGCCCTCTTCCTAACATTATAATCGAAGTTTCCAGCGCTGGGAGTAAAGCCTCTGTCATAATGACTTCATTCAGTCTTTTGAACTTTGGATTTTACTTAGTGTGTGGATACAATATCCACGTGCCACAGTGTGCATGTGGTGTCAGAGGACAAGATGATCAAAGACTTTGGGGCACTTTAGCACTACTGCACCCCCCTTCCTGGGAACCAGGACCCTGGTAACCAACCACGCATGCACGGGAGCTTTGAGTACTTTCCATCCCCATTGTAGTCTTTCTTCTTTTTTTTTTTTTTTTTTGGTTTTTCGAGACAGGGTTTCTCTGTGGCTTTGGAGCCTGTCCTGGAACTAGCTCTGTAGACCAGGCTGGTCTCGAACTCACAGAGATCCGCCTGCCTCTGCCTCCCGAGTGCTGGGATTAAAGGCGTGCGCCACCATCGCCCGGCTTGTAGTCTTTCTTCAATAGACCCAGACCCTGGAACTGGGGTGAGACAACCTGCAGGTTTCCTCCTTGTAATCGCCATAACATTGATCAAGTAGAGTTAGCTGACCATTGAATGAACTAGTCAAAATAGTTGACAAATGATTTTTGGACATTCCCTTTGATTCTGTACTACCCCCTCCCTGATTTTGTGGTTTTTTTCCTTTAAAAGAGCTTGTAATAGACAAAGCAGGCGTCCTTCTCCTCTCGAGGCTGAGGGACCTCTGCCGTGGCAGAATAAAAATTCCTCTTGCTATTGCATCAACTGTGCTGTGAGTGTCTCTTGGGGCGACCTCCTCCTTGGTGGGGCTTTAGGGCCCAACAGTGACAGTCAGCTTTCTCCTTCCACCGCCTGGGTCCCAGGTCAAACTCAGGTTTTCCAGCTTGGCAGCAAGGGTCTTGACCCACTGAGTCATATCGACAGCCCACACTCTAGGCATTTCAGAATGTGAAGCGACACAAAGGTCAGCAAGTGCTCATCTCTTTCCTGTAGTACAATTAATAAAAACCCAGAGACAGACACTGGGGTTCAACCTGAGGCTCGGAAAGGCAGAGCGGCCAGCCACTGGAGAGCTCTTGCCTCTGCAAAATCTTCAGACTGAAAGAGAGCGAGTTCCTGTCTCTTTCCATTTTATACTCCTCTCTAGTTCTGGGATTAAAGGCTGCATCACCACCCGGCCTCTATGGCTAAGGAGTGTGGCTGCTGGGATTAAAGATGTGTGCCACCACTGCCTGGCCTGTATGGCTGACTAGTGAGGCTGTTTTACATTCTGGTCTTCATACAAGCTTTATTTATTAAAATACAAATGAAATATGACGACACTTTTTGTCTAACCATTCCATGTTGTTACCAAAGAGACTGAAAATGACTTAATCCAGGGGTTGCAGACATCCCAAGACTCCATCTAATTTGGGTTTGGGTGGCTGTCTTGTTTTAAGACAGGTCTCAGGTAATCCAGACTGGCCTCAAACGCACTATAAGGCTAAGGATGACTTTGAACGCTGGATCCTGGATTTCAAATAGTTGTGCACCACTACACCTTATACCAGGCTTCTTCTTTTGGTCCACCAACCAGCTCCCAAATCATGACACAGAGACTTCCTATTAGTTATAAATGCTTGGCCTAGTTTAGGCTCACTTCTGGATAGTTCTTCTCATTTAAATTAACCTGTTTCCCTTTATCTACCTTTTGCCTCAAGACTTTTTACTTTTCTTTCCTTCTGTATATCTTACTTTCACTGTTTCTCCCGTCTGGCTGGCTGGTGGCTGCCTGGTTTCTTGCCCCAGACATGTCCCTCATTCTCTCCTCTTCTCTTCCTGTTTTTTCTCTTTTTCTTCTCCGATTTATTCTCTCTGCCTGCCAGCCCCTCCTAGCCTTTCTCTGCCTAGCTATTGGCCATTCATCTTTTTCTTAGACCAATCAGGTGCCTGGAAAATAAGGTGAAACAGCTGCAACACATCTTTACATAATTACACAAATGCAGCAGAAACAAAAGTAACACAGCTTTACACAGCTGGAGTAATATTGTTGCAGCAAATTTAACAAATGTAACACATCTTTGCCCAATTAAAATAATATTCCACAACAAGACCTGGCTTCAACCCTTGAGTTTTTGATATGTAGCCCAGACTGGCCTCCAACTCAAGCTTCTTCTCCTCCCTCAGCCTCTCTTCTGTTGGGATTAGAGGCATACACCACACACCCCTCTTCATTTGCTGCTCTAGCTTATGGCAAGGAACCTGCTTACTTTTATCCTTCCGGCTTCTGTGGAATCCAAGTTGAGAATCTTTGTTGAGTCCCATGCCCCAAACTTTCGTAATGTCCTTGGTTTTGGAGGACAGCAGTGTGAATCCATAGCCACAGGCAGCAGAGGAAATCTGAAAAAGAGTTCCCACAATGCACCATGGACTGATTTGTGATGTCAGTTCTTTCAGCAAGAAGTGACAAACTGCTGGGCAGTGGTGGCGCACACCTTTAATTCCAGCACTTGGAAGGCAGAGGCAGGTGGATCTCTGTGAGTTCGAGGCCAGCCTGGTCTACAAAGAGAGGTCCAGGACAGGTTACAAAGGTACACAGAGAAACCCTGTCTTGAAAAACAAAACAAACAAAGTGACGAGCTATTTACATGCACTCATGTATTTCCTACAGCCGACCGGGAGTCATCCCTCGTGCCATGCTAGCCGTCTCTTTTTTCCTTCTGTACGCACATCATGCACTGGGCATTTTCATCCCACTCACCATGACACAGTCCAGCATGGCATCTTAGTGTGACTCTTGGGCCCAACCCCTACCAGCTGGGTATCTTGAGAGGGATTATTTATCCTCTCTAAAAGAGGAAAACAAGGCTGACCAGATGACCTAAGAGGTAAAGGTACTTGCCACTTAAACTTGATGATCTGAGATCAGTCCCCAGAGCCGTATGGTGGAAGGAGAGAATGGACTCCTGCAAGCTGTCCTCTGACCTCTACAAGTGTGCCATACACACCAAGCATGTGTTAGACACACACACACACACAAATGAATAAATGTTCAAATTTTTTTAAAGGAAATAAGAGGCTGGAGAGATGGCTCAGTAGGTAAGAGGGCTGGTTCTGCAAGCTTAAGGACCTGAATTCAGATCCCCAGCACCCATGTGAAAGTCTGGCATGGCTACAGGTGGTAGCTGTAATCTGTTACAGGGCAGAGACAGGAAAATCCCAGTAGTTCACTGGCCAGTCAGCCCAGCAAGATTGAGGACTTCTGGTTCAGTGAGAGATCCTACCTCACGAGAATAATGCAGAGAGTTACAGACGAAAACAGTCCAGCCTCTGCATGTGCATGCGTGAGCACATGCGTCCACGAGCACACACCCCTTCACCCACATGCACACAAAATGGTATGACAGAAGCCCTCCTCTCTGGGTTGTTGTCATACATCCAAAGCCTTTCCGGTAAACGGCACCGGACTTCGCCAACGATGTGCAGGGTCTCATTCCAGAGCGCTGCCCATGCTACACTGCTAACTCCTCAACCCGTGGCCATGCAGAGGTGTTGTCATAGCTAGTGTGAACTTGAACATTAACAGTGCCCACATCTTTATTCAGTCTTTCACCTAAACCATCACCGGTCCTCACTTCCACTGACTGGGGCAACTCAACTTGGGATGGAAACGTCACTTCTGGTGGGAGCACTAAGTCTAACTGGGGCAGAAGTGACCTGAACCCAGGGGTTCATTCTAAAATCAATCGTCTCCACACGACCCACAGCAGCTAGCTATACCCCAAGCTAGCAGCGGTTGCCCTCGACTTCACACCTGATGTCCCATATTATACACTCCCAGCCTAGTGTCACCCCACTATCTCTCAGCAGCTGAGATTATCAGAGACCCACCAACTCCCTCAGAGAACCCCTTTGAATCTCACTGGATCCTAAACAAAAATGCAAGAGTATCACTCTTCCTAATCCTCCTGCCTCAGCCTCCTAACTGCTGCCATTGCAGATATGAGCCACAACTGACCCAGGCATACTTTTTGTTTTTAGTTCTAGCTAACTACTTCTTTTTAGTTATTATTTTCACTGATGTGTCTGTGCACTGATGTGCCTATGCACACATGCATTCGGGTACCCTCAGAGTGCAGAAGAGGTGCTGGACTCCTGGAGCTGGAGTCACACTGTGACCCACCCCGCTGGGGTGCTGGGAAACGAACTCGGGTGCTCTCCGGCAGTACACACTGTTACCTGCTCAACCACCTCCACAACTTCTTAGCTAAATATGTTATTAAAATTTGTTGCCAGGGGGCTGGAGAGATGGCTCAGTGGTTAAGAGCATTGCCTGCTCTTCCAAAGGTCCTGAGTTCAATTCCCAGCAACCACATGGTGGCTCACAACCATCTGTAATGAGGTCTGGTGCCCTCTTCTGGTCTGCACGCATACACACAGACAGAATATTGTATACATAGTAAATAAATAAATATTAAAAAAAAAATTGTTGCCAGGTGGTGATGGTGCACACCTCTGAACCCAGCATTCAGGAAACAGAGGCCAGCCTGGTCTACAGAGTGACTTCCACGGCAATAGAGGCCATAGAGAGAAACCCTATCTTGAAAAAAGAAACTTAGAAAAAAAAATTGTTGATACTTTGTGTAATTGTGCCATCAAAAGTGACAGTGACATGTCAGCAGGGCAGTGGTGCATACAGCTTTTATCCCAGCACAGGGAGAAGCATGCGGACCTCTGAGTTTGAGGCCAGCCTGGTCTATAGAGTGAGTTCCAGGACAGCCACAACTGAACAAAGTGACATGACCCTCTTTTCACCTTCTGAGTTTCCCTTTTTTTTTTTAATTTATCTTATTCAATATACATTGGTGTGAGAGTATCCGATCCCCTGAAACTGGAATTACAGACAGTTGTAAGCTGCCATGTGGGTGGTGGGAACTGAACCCAGGTACTCAGGAAGTGCTCTTAACCACTGAACCACTTCTGCAGCCCAACAGTTTCCCTTCTCAGAGTCATACAAGACGTACATAGCACCATCCTTCTACTCAAAACCCTTATTTTCTAGCATCCTGGAGCCACCAAACTTCTGACACGGCTTGAGATCCACAGAGATGACCCACATGGGAGGCTGAAGCTAATTGGGCTGCATGAGAGAAAACAGGAAAGATTCGAGTTCAGTTCCCAGCACCACGTGGCTGCTCACAATGGGCCACAGCTCCAGTTCCATGGGATCCGATGCCCTCTTCTGGCCTCTGTGGGTGCCAGGCATGCAAGCGATACACAGACAAACGCACAAGCAAAACACACACACACACACAAAAACAAACAAAAAATTATAGGTCTAAAAAATGATGCACTGCCTGGTGGTGCATGCTTTTAATCCCAGCACTTAGGAGGAACTCTCTCTTGAGAATTTGAGGCAGGACAACCAGGGCTGTTATACACAGAGAAACTCTGTCTCAAAAAGAAAAAAACAGGGGGCTGGAGAGATGGCTCAGTGGTTAAGAGCATTGCCTGCTCTTCCAAAGGTCCTGAGTTCAATTCCCAGCAACCACATGGTGGCTCACAACCATCTGTAAATGAGGTCTGGTGCCCTCTTCTGGCTTGCAGACATATACACAGACAGAATATTGTATACATAATAAATAAATAATTATTTTAAAAAAAAAAGAAAAAAACATTATGCTCAGCACATGAAGATTATTCTCATGCTCAGCGATGCCTGTTTATTTAACACTCAACAAATATTTGACGGGCTCATGGCACCAGCTAATCTGCTCATGTGTGAAAGGCGCTGACCAGTATCTAGCAGTGTCAGCTAAAGTGAGATCCTGACAGGAGGGGACCTCAGCCACATCTACGAAGAGGTTCATGAATGTTTGCCCAACAAGCAAGAATTGTGCTAGGTAAGACTGCATCTGCTGGCAAACACCTGCAGTCCAGCACGGAGGGCCCTGAAGCAGGAGGACCACAACTCTAACGTCAGTCTGGGCTACACACTGAGATTGAGGCCAACTTGGGTTACATATCAACTCTGTCTCAAAGTAAAAATAAAAAAATGTTAGCTTTTACTAATTCAATTTAACACTATACTAAACGTGTCCCCCACCACCACGCCATTAAATCAAGCAAGAAAAAGAAAAGAAGCATCCAATTAGAAAGAAGGACAGAGAGCTACCTCTACCCACAGGCCACCTGCACATAGAAAACACTAAGAAATGCACAAAAGTCTGTAAGCACAGGGGCTGGGGCCAGGTCTAATGAAGCACACCTTTAATCCCAGCACTCAGAAGGCAGGGCTGGGTGGATCTCTGGGAGTTCTAGGCCAACCTGGTCTACAAAGTGAATTTCAGGACACCCAGAGCTACTTAATAGAGAGCCCCTGTCTTGAAAAAAAAAATGAAACAAAATAAAGAACAAGCTGGAGAGATGAATGGCTCCGTGGTTAAGAGCACTTCTAGTCCTTTCAGAGGACCTGGGTTTGACTCCCAACACCTACCCTGGAGGCTCACACCTGCAGCAGGCTTTCTTTTGGCCCACTAACCAGCTCGCAAATCATAACCAGAGACTTATTAGTTATGAATGCTCGGCCTTATCCTAAGCTTGTCCCACTAGCTCTTATAACTTATTTTAACCTGTTTCTCTTCATCTACATGTTGCCTTGAGGCTTTTTACCTTTCTTTCATTCTCTACTTCCTACTCCATGTCTGGCTGGCTGCTCTGGCCCTGGGGAACTCTTGCGCTCTTCTTTCTCATTTCTCTCCTCGTACTTATTCTGTCGTCAGCCCCGCCAATCCCTCTACTGCCTAGCTATTGACCATTCAGCTTTTTATTAAACCAATTAGGTGCCTTAGGCACGCAAAGCCACACATCTTTACATGTTAAACAAATGCAACATAAACAAATGTGATATATCGTCACATACTACCATCTCTTGTGGGCTCCATGGACACCAGGCATACACAAGTGATACAGACATACATACAGGCAACACCATAGACATTAAAAAAATTTTTTTAAATCTATAGAACCTTTAACAAGTTTAGCAAAGCCACAAGGAAGAAGACTGATAGGCCACCTGGGTAGCAGTGGCACATGCCTTTAACCCCAGCACTTGGGAGGCAGAGGCAGGCAGATCCCAGTGAGTTCGAGGCCAGCCTGGTCTATAAAGTGAATTCCAGGCCAGCCAGAGCTACACAGAGAAACCCTGTTTTTGAAAAACAAAATAATAAAAATAATAATAAACCAAAAACAAACAAACTAACAAGAAACCTGTAGGGCTGGAGGTATAGCTCACTGTAGAATGCTTGCCTAGCATGATACAATTCTGGGTTTAATTCCCCCCACTACAGACAATAACAAAAGTGTACTTCTATAAAATGCCAATAAATAATCCCAAAAGAAAGGGTGGTTTGTTTTTATAACTAAAGATGCTAGCACAACTATCTACAAGCAAAAAGATGGAGACCCTCATCTCACACTGTTTACAAAAAAAAAAAAAAAATTCCAGGCTGGGGACGTAGCTCAGCTGATACAGTGCTACCAGGGCATGCATAAAACCCTGGGTTCCATCTCCAGCACCACTCCAACCAGAAACGGTGGCACATAGCTGTAATCTCAGCATCTTGAAGGTAGAGACAGGGTTTAACTACTTAGCCCAAGCCTGTCTGCAACTTGTGCCAATTCTCTTGTCTCAACTGTCCAGTCCTGGACTACAGGTCTGGCCACCACAGCAGACCTACTGAGCCCTTTTCAAATGTAAGCCCCTTCGGAGGCACCATGTGCAGCCTCCCAGCTTGTCTCTCCAACTGCTCACTGACATTTCCTCTCCTAGCTGTTCATCACTTACTCCAGCCAACACTTCTCTTGACCTCACGGCGTCTTTCTAGCCTGAGTACGAATACCATCGTTTCTACGCTACCAGCTGAGGGGGCTTTGGGCCTTTCTTAACCTCCTTTCATCCCCAGTAACTGGAGGCGAGACTCCTGGCGTGCTGAGCAAATAATCCAAGATGGGCAGAAAACCTGATGTGGTTGTCAACCTATGCAATCAGGCAAGAAAAATAAACGAAGACACAAAACTTTCTCTAGCCACAAGCAAACCGCACACACACACAAAATGCTAAGACACAGAAGCAAGTTCAAGCAGTCAAAAGCAGAGGACTGAGATAAACAATCTTCTTGGCCTTCCCCAACAAATGCCAGGAACTAGGAGGTCAAGCTCCCGGAAGTCCGGCCACCTAGGGAAGAACGTCCCCTACGGGAGGCCGTGAGGATGCCGGGGCCCTCACCTTATGGTCCAGCTCCAGGCGGTAAGGTACCGGCTGGATCCTGCGTCGGGGCCGCAGCCCAGCGCGGGGTTCGGGCCCCGAGGCCGGCACCACGAAGCTGGGAACTCCGAGAGCCCCCGAGAAGCTGAAGCCCCATACGAAGACTCGATCGGCGCGGACCGCGCGCTCGCCCACATACTGGAACACCGGCGCGTCCGCCTCGGCCTCGGCCGCCTCACGCCGGCTCCGTGAGCTCCCGGCCGCTCTCCAGTGCTCGCGGGCCGGTGCCGACCACCTCAGCCGTCGCCCCAGAAGAGTCCCGGCCGCCGCCAGCATCCTCCGCTCCACGCCTTAGCCGCTTATGGGCGCCGCCATCGCGTTACCCTTGACCCCCCCCTGGCCTGGCGGAAGTAGATGCGGCCATACTTACTACTGGCTGAAGGCGAAGCGCTTAGGGAAATGCAGCCATATTTACTATTGGCAGATGGAGGTCCTACCAGAGCTACTCCTAGATGAAAGCAAACACTGTGGGAAATCTATAGCTTTACCGTAGTTATCCATGAGCAGGGGACTTAAATGAGTGTCCCAGTATTATTTGAAGATGCCTGTGAAGTGTTGCCGCCCTATGGTTCTTGCTGCCCCTTTTCAAGTTCTAGGAATTTCAGTTTGCTAGGGATTGAACCCAGGGCTTCACACATACTTAGGGTATAGGCTAACACTGAGCCACTCTCCCAGCCCCACGAATTCTTTTTATAAATATTGAAAGGAGTTAGAGGAAGCATTCTAGATGCTTATTTCACTGGAGCGAAAATGGGAACGGTAACCTGTAACCCCATCTGTACCCCAGTTCTAGGGCTGAGGCAAATTGCTGCAAATTGGAAGCCAGCCTGGAAGAGAAGAAAGCTTTTAATATATATACATATATACATATTTGTTTGCTTGTTTGAGACAGGGTCTCATTTAGCCCCAATTAGCCAGGAACTTGCTATGTAGAGCAGGTTAGCCTCAAATTCAGATGTCTACCTGCCTCTGCCTCCCAAGTGGTGAAATTAAAGTGTGTGCCTCCACACCCAGCGCTGGTTGGTTGATGTATTTTGTTTTGGGTACTTTCTTTCATGTATATGGCTGTATTGCCTGCAAGTATGTTTGTGTACCGTGTGTGTATTGGATCCTGAGGAACTGGAGTTACAGTTGACAGCCCCCATGTGAATATTAGAAACAGAACCCTGGTCCTCAGGAAAACCAAGCAGTGTTCTTAACTGATGAGCCCCTCTCCAACTTTCTGATTTTTTTTTTTTTTTGAGATAGGGTCTCACTCTGTAGCCCAGACTAGCCTCTAACTCACTCACTGCAATTCTCCTACCTCAGCCTCCCAAGTGTTGGGATTACAGACCCATGCCACCCTGCCAGATTCAGCCCTGGTTGAACTGTACCTGACTTCTGTGTGCCTTTCTTAGCCCCTTGGATCTCAGCTTCAGAATGAAAGGCTAAACGGAAATTTTCAGACTATGAAATGAGATTGTTTTTGTAAAACAAAGGGTTACAGTACATGCCTTTAATCCCAGCAGTCAGGAGACAGAGGCAGTCAGGTCTCTGTGAATTCACAGCCAACCAAAGCTACACAGAGAAACCCTGTCTCAAAATAAACAATGTAAAAAATTAAAAACAATATAAAACAAAGGGCTAAAGTCCATGACAGGACATTCCAAATGCCAGGCTCTAATGCAGAGAGCAAACCTTTTCCTCCCTCATCCTCACTGTATATTGCTTGATAAACAGGAATTTACTAATTTTCTTTCTTCACATAGGATTCACGCAGCCCAGGCTGAGCATAAGTTCACTACGGAGCCCAGGATGGCCTTGAACTCCTGATCTTCTCGCCTGCCCTCAGCACTAGAGGTTGTGGAATGCACCAGCACACCCAGGTCGTGCAGTCCTGGAACAGAACCCAGAGGATCCTGCATGCTGAGCCAGCACTCCGTCAGCTGCACTACATCTGAAGTCCTATAATTCATCCAATTTTAATTACTCCCAAGATAAGCTCAAAGTGTATAGAATATGTTACATATATAGACCGTGTGTCTATCATTATGTAGTTAATATTCTGGGATGTGGGGCTGTTTCATCAAGGAAGATCCACCAATATAAGGGGATAACTGGACAGTGGTGTGCACGTCTTTAATCCCAGCTCTCAGGAGGCAGAGGTATCTCTGTGAGTTCAACACCAGCCTGATCTACAGAACAAGTTCCAGTATAGCCAGAGAAACCCTCTCTCAAGAAAACCAAATAAATAAATAAAATAAGAAGAAGAAAGATAAGGGGATAAACTGGGGACAGGCAAGATGGCTTAGGGGATAAAGGTGCTTGCCACCAAGCCCAAACCACAGGATCCACATGGCAGAGGGAGAAAACTGACTCCTGCAAGTTGTCCTCTGGCCTCCAAACCAGCTCCGGACCATGGACATGTGCCCACACATTTACACAACATCAATGCAAAGTAAATAAAAAGGTAGGGTAGCCAGGAAAGAGCTCGACACAGCTCTGCACTGCACTGGGATATAAAGTACCTAGAAGGTCAGTACTCAGCTGGGTCTGCTTTTTATGAACATGCTGCCTATGCAATGCAAGGAGAAGTCATCTGCTGCTTAGAAAACAGGTAAAGCCTGTCCCCAAAGTGGATGCTTCACAACAGACAGGGCCACAAGATTCGGCAGCCTCCGTTCATAGCCTCTAGGTCAATCTTCCGGTCAAGTCTCAGTAGAGCAGAGCCTGGCAGAGACACTCAATACTCATAAGGTGGGGCCTCACTTCCTGGTATAAACTGAAAGCAAGGTTAATCCAACCCTGCAGGAGCCAAGGCAAAATGGGAGGATACCTGTGCCCCTTAAGATGTGGACCAGGGCCGGGCAGTGGTGGCGCACGCCTTTAATCCCAGCACACGGGAGGCAGAGGCAGGAGGATCTCTGGGAGTTCGAGGACAGCCTGGTCTACAAGAGCTAGTTCCGGGACAGGCACCAAAGCTACAGAGAAACCCTGTCTTGAAAAAAAAAAAAAAAAAAAGATGTGGACCATGAGCTGGGCGGTAGTGGCACATGCCTTTCATCCCAGCACTCAGGAAGCAGAGGGAGGTGGGTCTCTGTGAGTTCGAGGCTAGCCTGGACTACAAAGTAACAGGACAGCCAAAGAAATACAGAGAAACCTTGTCTGGAAAAAAACAACAGCAAAATCTAATTGATCTCGGGGCTCTCCAGATATTCCAATACGTTGGATTTGTGGAGAGACCAAGTTTGCAAACTTGATTAAAATAAAGGCTCTTTGCTTTTACATATGGGGGAAAAACACCACCAACAATGATAAAAGATATGGCTTATGGAGGACAGAGTAAAGGGGGTGAAGACCGTTCACAGATGCCAAGGTGTCTTTCCTGACTAGATAGCCTGTCAAGGTGCTCGTTCATGTGTGATTAGGAAGATGTCGTGAGGCGATGATGTAAAAATCGGGACCAATGAATGAGTGGAGCGTCGATGTGATGGCACACCCCTGTCATGCCAGCATTGTGGATGCTGGGACTGGAGAACCAAGGGTCCCAGGCCAGCCTGGGCAACAGCATGGAACGATATCAAAGCAACGATTCAAACTCACTTAGAGATATGACTGAGTGGTTGAGCCCTTGCTTAGAATCCCCCAGTGAAGAACGGGGCATGGCTGAGCTGTAGAGCATTCTGCCCACTATCCGTAAGCCTGAGCACTTCAGAGAAAACTTAAAAATCAACAGCTCGGGACTGGAGAGAGGGCTCAGAGGTTAAGAGAACTGGCTGCTCTTCCAGAGCACCTGAATTCAATTCCTGACACCCACATGGTGGCTCACAATCATATATAATGAGATCTGATGTCCTCTTCTGGCCTGCAGGGATACATGCAGGCAGAACATGGTATACATAATAAATAAATCTAAAAATAAATAATTAAATAAATAGCTCTTAGCCATGTATGGTGGTGCACACCTGCCATGACGATTTATTTATTTATTAAGTATACAGTGGTCTGCCTGTATATGTCCCTGCAGGCACCATATTTCATTATAGATGGTTGTGAGCCACCATGTGGTTGCTGGGAATTGAACATGAAGTATAGCCAGTGCTCTTAACCTCTGAGCCATCTCTTCAGCCCGAGGATCAGGATTTCAAAGACTTTTCTGACAAAAGGAAAACTCGACCCAGCAGTCGTGGTGCACACCTTTAATCCCAGCATTCAGGAGGCAGAGGCAGGCCGATCTATGAGTTTGAGGCTAGCCTGGTCTACATAGCAAGTTCCAGGCCAGTCAGGTTGACATAGTGAGACCCTAATCTCAACCCTCAGAAGCCAGAGGCAGGCAGATCTCTGTGAGTTCAAGGCCAACCTGGTCTACAAGAGCTAGTTCCGGGGCTGGAGGGATGGCTCAGTGGTTAAGAGCATTGCCTGCTCTTCCAAAAGGTCCTGAGTTCAATTACCAGCCACCACATGGTAGCTCACAACCATCTGTAATGAGATCTGGTGCCCTCTTCTGGCCAGCAGGCATACAGGCAGACAGGATATTGTATATGTAATAAATAAATATTTTTTAAAAAAGCGCTAGTTCCAGTGAAAGACCCCCCGGATCGGGGAGACTCTCACTCAAGTCTCGGGATAACACGACCCCCCAGGAACTCACGAGAGACCCTCCTTGCTGCAATCACAGGAGGTTTATTGACAGGACAGGATCCAGTGCACTGGAGCTGAAACTCATTTCCCACACAGGGGTAGAGAGTTCAACCCCGAGTAGCTGGGAGAAGGGGTATTTAAGGGAAGAAACCATCCAAAGGGTGTGGATTGCGTTGGGTGGGCTACTCAGTCTAGGGGTTAGTAACCCACCCGCAATCCAGTTATTCCAGGGTCTCGGAGGGGCGCTACCTGGAAGGGAGTGAGCTAAGACAGAAGAACGAGGCCAAGCAACTTTGTCAAGGCCTCAGTTTATTAGGGACGGGTTACAGTTTATATATGGTAAGGGATGAGGGGCAGGGTACGGGATCTCGCAGGCCGCGTGGTTCCGGTCACGTAGCTCGGTTACATTCAGACAGACAGGCCAGAAGTCACAAGTGGCCACACCTGGTTCCCTGGATAGCTGGAATGTGAGGCGGGTTCCGCTAAGATTAGCAGTTAATTGGGTGAGGGGCAGGTTTTGTCAATAGAACATAACTATGGGTGTGAGGTTCTCTGCAGACTCCCTAGAGTGATGGTTTCTGTAATGATTGTTAGGGGGGAAATGGCTCCTGACAAAAGGGGGTAGTCAGGGCATCATTGGAAAATTCCGAAAATACCAGTGATAATCACAAGGGGGTAACTCCCTGTTTCTCAAGATTATAATCTAACTTTATCTTCAGCTAGTTCCTGAAACAGAGTCACTGAACCAGTTAATCTAGATTTTT